GGTACAGTTAATTTTTGGCGACACTGAGGAACCCAGGCTTCTTTTCAAATCTAAATAAGTAAGATGAAGTGAAAAAGAAATCAGAGCATTTTGGTCATTTTCTATTGATGAGATCTGGTACATTTCTTAACTCCACTAAGTCTACTAAACAAGGTGACTACAAAGATTAAACAGCAGATTCAAAACAAATCCTAGTCGTTATTTTTTTTTTAATTAAAATTGGCCTACATAGTAACTTACTTTCAAATGTGGAATTTCTTATTTGGTATCCTTCAGAAAAAGAATCTGAAGTTCTGAATTAATGACTATAAATTTTACACATAGTAAACTGAGGTAGGGAGAGGATTATAAGCTATGGTGTCTAGTATATCTAGAGTCAAATCCAAACTTCAGTGTCATATCTGTAATATAATGAATGGTCCCACACCTTTTCTTTAGCTACATATTATACTACTGACTTACATAAATATAATACTCAAACTTGTGGCAGCTATTACTTCTTAACAAACATACTCTATACTTGACCTTACTTTGCATCTCTAACTAAATTCTTTATTGGTCTATTGAAATTTGTTCTCCAAGGTCCAAATGAAATTCTTCTAGAATATAACCTTGATTCCAAATGTTGAGAAATGATGGCTTTTTCCTCTGAACTTTTAAATCTTTCTGATTTTACTTCTCTTAGAGTACATCTTATATCATGCATTGTAATTTAGGTAAGTATGAAAAAATTTTCATTTCTTCTGGCAGAGCATAAGACTCTTAAAGCTAGATGGAAGGGAACCAACATTATTTTGCAACTATAAGATGTCTGTTGCTTTTCCAGTGAATATATATTTTTAATGTAATCTTTATGACACCCTATGAAAAAGGAATTTTCTTTTTACAGCTACCCACACACAGAGACCTAGCTGTTACCTTGAATTTCACAGAGGCTAAACAATTCACTTATAGTCATAAGGCCAGTAAATGACAAGAGTCTAGATATGAATCCTAATCTTTCGAAATCTAAAACCTTGGCACTTTCTGAAATACTCTGCCCAGTGACCATGGGTAGATCCTCACTGATTTATCTGTTTCCTGTCCACCCACTAATCATCAGAGGAAAACCTTTTGTCATAACATATTAGCAGAAAAAATTGATATGGGGTATTGCCCTCCTACTTTTCAAAACTAAGAACAAACTCTTCAGAGCAAAGAGAATGATTAATACGAATCCTGAATAAAGATGAAGTGATAAGAACTCTGCTTGCAGGAGAAAGCAGTCAAAAACCATTATTTTTCCACTCATGTTTAAAAACTCCTCCTCCTTTGAGGTTTGCACCATCTGGCTATAGCATTCTCCACCCCACCTCCTCATCTGTCATCTACCACCCTCCTGATTAATTCCTATTTTTACTGCACCTGGGTCACAATCTTCCTCTCTTCCCCACATCCCATCATCCTAAATCACTTCACTATCCACACATGATGGTTTCAATATATACCAGCCTCAGAGTTCCTTGCTATACTCAGCTTTGCTGACCTTAATTTCTACTGTATTTCAGCTACCCACACACAGAGACCTAGCTGTTACCTACAACAACTCCAAATCAGACAACTTAACTCAATGTTTATATATAATTAATATATATGTATATATCTTTTTTTAGTTATTCATGAACCTTTATTTTTACTTATTTATTTGTGGTGCTGATAATAAAACCCAGTGCCTCACACATGCTAGGCAAACGCTCTATTACTAAGCCACAACTACTGCCCCATTCATGTTAATAATAAATTAATATTTCATTTTCTGACTACAGTACCCAGCTTACTTCCACTAAATTTACTCACTGAACTAACTCAAGCAATCACAAAATCTTCAAGTCCAAAACAACTCATTGTACACTGTTTCCTATCTCAGCCAATATTACCACCATCCACCAGATCACTCAAGCTAAAAACCTAAGCACCACATTAGACTTCTCATTCTCTCACATGCACATCCAATCACAAAGCCTCAGATTTTTTTCAAATTATCCTTTCCTCTTCTCCTATGACCACTTTTTAAAAATGCTATGTTAACCATGTCTTATTTTTAAAATATTACCCACTGAATTAATTTCAAGATTCTTATGCATAAAAGGCCCACAATGGTATGGCTTCTGCCTGTATTTCCAGCCTCACAATTTACACTTCTGTGTTTACTACTATATTCTTATCAGTCCCAAATTGCTGTGGTTCATTACACCAGCCATTTCTTTTCTCACACTGATTCCTCTACTCAAGCAGTTTTCTGTTTGACATATACTTTCTACTCACCATTGCCTACCTTACTCCTACTTATCATTTAAGATTTGGGTCATGTATCATCTCTTCCCAAAATGTTCCCTCAACTCCTAGGCTAGCCTAAAAGCACTAACTTTGGGTCAATCACAGCATCATATGCACAGCTCTTATTTTTCATTCCAAAAATGACCAATTTAAGCATCTAATTTGCCAGCTCCACAAAGATTAGTATTCATCTTTGTATGCTCAACTAAGCACAGAGCATAGCATAGTGCTGAACATACTATCTATAATAAGTATATAAATGTAAAAGAATACAGTAGGTTTAATTTTTCAGTAGAATGTTCTCCTCTGTGCTTTCTCACTGGTTAGTTTCTCCTAACTTTAACTCCAAGTTCTTTGAAGGTTCAGAGTCTTTTCTGGATCTGTAGAGTTTTACACTGAATGGTGCTATACAAAAATGTACCCAACTTACATAAAAGGGAAACACAATTGCACAAACTAGAAATCAAAACTTGACATATGTGCTGCAAACTTCAAAACCACTTACCAATTTAAAAAATGAAGACATTAAGAACAAAGATAAAGAGCCAATTCTGACTGTTGGTATGTGCTTATCTCAGTCATAAAAACAGTGAAACTTTGCTTAAAACTTGAACAGGGCCCCAGATACAAGATTTTATCTACAAGGCCATCACATCCCTGCTGAGTTTCAGAAATTATTAATTTGCAGAGTTGTTTAGGCAGGGGTTTAGGAAATTGGTGAAAGAACCTTTTTAAAATAAAATTTAACCCCACTTACCTCTAAAAGCTAACTGATTTTTAAAAAGTAAAAAATAATGCTGTTAAGTGAGCAACAAAAAAGTTGTTCTTTTTCATATCAATATGGGGCCTTCTGCTGGCAGAAAAGGAGCAAAGAGTTCAGTGTAATAAAGCATTTTCCTCTCCAACCAAATATTAAATTGTACTCTTTCAGAGTAAAAATAATAAGCTCTTCAATTCACATGGCACATTACAGTTTAAACCCCTTGAATATACATTATTTGTTTGATAAAGCATTTAGACATTTTGTTAAAGGCGGGGGAATGTGAAAATTTCCACGAAATAGAATCTCAGCTCCTGAGAACAGTCACTACTGGATGGCTATTTTTTTTCTTTTTTCAAGTTCAAAACACAGCACAGAAATGAGGAAGGGAAAGTCCTTTTTATTATAGCAGGCCAATCCTTGGGGCCAAGGACCTTCCTATAGAAACTTAACAAGGTTTTATCTCTTTGGTCACATCAAGATCTTTGAAGAGAAATCATCCAGGGAGTGAATCAGAGAATTATCCAAGAGAAGACAAGCCTCAGGGGACGTGACTATTACCTTCAGATATCTTAACAGCTGGCCATAAGGGAAAAGAACTAGGAAGAATGGGAGGCAGCTGTTTCTGTCAAGCTATAACCAAATCTGTGAAGGTACATACAGAACGGGTTTCCCTGGGAGCAGATCAGCTTTCCATCAATGGAAGAACTGTCCAAATACGTCCAATTTCTAGGGTACTACTCGGGATTTTGAAAGATACTTTGGCAGGGGACGGGAGAAAGGGACCCTGGATGACTTTCAGTTCCCTTCCTGTCTGTAGAAGTTCTAGGGCTCACCAACCCCTTTCAGTGCTGCGCCCACGTGTCCAGCCCTCCAGGGCTGCTGGCTGGCCTCGGTGCTAGCTGCTCCAGGCCCCGTCTGAGGTTTGAAACCTGCTCTCCCGGGCCACTTCTGGCGGGGCCCCGGGCAGGGGCAGGTGGCACACGTGAGTTCTCCCAGCCTGGAGATCCCTGGCTGACAGCTCCAGGCCTTCGCTCCCAGGACCCTCCTCCGTCTTCGCCTGCCCGGGGACCAGGGACCGGCCGCCAGCACCGCAGGCATTGTCACCTCCGGCATCTGGGCAGTCCAACTGACCCACGCAGACAGACATCACGCAGACTCCTG